GTAGTGATACTGCCTCAGAAACCCAAGGAGGGGTTGCTATGAGTCGGGTTTGACTCGACGGCACATAACAACAACAACAACAACATATATATACATATATATACATATATATATATATGGATATATGGATGTGTATATATGATGGCAGGAAGGAGCTCTGGTGGCATGTTGCCTAAGGCACTTGACTGCTAACCAGAAGACTGGCAGCTCAAACCCACCAGCCACTCCTCAGAATGAAGTTTGGGCAATCTACTTCCGTAGTGATACCACCTTGGAAACCCAAGGAAGGGTCGCTATGAGTCAGACTCAACTCGATGGCACTGAGTTTGGTTTTTTATATATGAAGGCATTGTGTGGTATTATAATTGGAAATGCTTACCAACCTTGAGAAAATTAATACTTAAGGATGCTAACTCCCTCTTCTCTTAGGCACCAGCCTGAGCTTTGATGAGATGCCCAATAAAAGTATTCCATTTTCCTCTTCTCATTTCTGTGCCAAAGTCCACCTTTGGTTGACACTTGCTCCTAGAAACCTGGGAATGAGGTGAAGGTGGCAGGTCAAGTATCAGGGAATTGAATGGAAATGAGAAGCAGTGGCAGATGGGCATCAAAAGACCATCTGGTAGTGAAGCGAGCAGTACTGCTCTACCACAAAATACTGGCATTGTGGGGTGCCTGTGTGGGCTGAGGAAGAATAGTAATGCGAAGCAGAGACGTGTGTTGGGAATGTCTACCAAAGACAGATGACAGGTAGAAGATGAATTAATATTAACGTAGCAGAAATATGTGGTTAATGACAGTTGCCACTAAAGAATTAAGTGTTTCCTGATTGTTCTGAACCTTTCTTGAATCTCAGGTCCTTCAGGGCTCCCTTGCCCCAATAGCTAAGGCAAGAAAACACCAGTGTGAACTGCATATAACAAGTACCTGAGAACTTTTAACTTTTCATTAAATTAACTTAATTTTCAAATTTAAATTCCCATTACCTATCTTGTATTTCTCAGTAATTGAGGTCAAAGCAAGGTCTGTAGGTATCTAGTCACAGGCTTGTCAAATCTCCACAGCTGGTATGGTTGGCCTCCCTTTGTCCTGTAGCAATGAGAGTTGTTCATCATTTCGAATTGCTTTCAAAGTGTAGTGCTTTTGCAGTTATCAAAATTCCAGCTATTCTTCTGTATTCAATCAGTTGCACAGGGAACATTGCCATTCTCCTCCCATACCTTCAATAATTACCCTGAAGTAACTGTCTCTCACCTTGCCATCTTAACAAGGTCTGGGCAATGTTAGAATGAATCCCTGTCAATAGGGGTTCCCAACATGAAATTTCACCATGCCAAACCACGCCAAAACAAAAAAACAAACAAACAAACAAACAAAAAAACCCATGCAGTTAGTACTACCTAGTTGTATTTTGAAATGAGTGTGTAAACAGCTGCTCATAATAGTATGTTGGTCATATATCTGTATGCTTTCTAGAGAAAATGGTCTTTCACTATCATCAGAAGACTCTCAAGTCAAATAGATTCTTTAGAAAATGATTGTCATTTAAGAACTATAGGTATATAGGATGTCCCTACAACAATGGGAATATAAATGTATCTTTGTATTTATAATGTATGCAGGATTATACTTGCAGCTGTGAATGTTGTTAAGTGGCATTTTAGGTGATGGTCTTTTTGTTTTTAAAAGAAAAAATCCATATTACTCATTTAATACTCATGACTAAACTGTGCCTATTTGTGTTACTAATAGCAAAGGCTTCTGCTCAATTTAGTATATGCATCTCACTTTTTACATCACCCACTTTAAAAAATCATCTGTAAGATGTATTGACATTGCATCCATGAATGTTCTTCTACATACAAATATATGTTTAAGGCTGCACAATCTCTCTCTCTCTCTCTAATGTTGTGTTTCTCCCTTCTCTCCTTTTTGTCTTTATTCACAGAATGTTTTCGTAGACAAACCAGCATTCCCGGAGTATAAAGTCTCTGATGCAAAAAAGTCCAAATTCATACTTTTGCATTTTAGCACTTTTAAAGCTGGCTGGGACTGGCTTATTTTGTTGGCAACGTTTTATGTTGCCGTGACTGTACCTTACAACGTTTGCTTTATTGGCAACGATGACTTGTCCACGACTCGGAGCACAACAGTCAGTGACATTGCAGTGGAGATTCTTTTTATTATAGGTAAGAACCAGAGGCTACTTTCATAGAAGATTTGCATATGGGAAGTAAGTGTGGCCCAGATTTTTCTAACATGAATTTGAACTAAGAGCCATTTGCATGGGTATGACTCAAGCTCTGATGCAAATCTTGGAGAAGCACATATTTGGATTTCTGAAAATTTCCTGTTTCAGCTTTTCCACTGTTCCTTAGTCACACAAATCTGAAGTAAGCCTCTACGTTTCTATTCTTAAACAATCAAAAGTGGGTTAAAAAGACTTCTGGGCTGTTGTGTTTGTACTATCACATCTTTCATGATTAACAACGTAGGGTCAGAGTTGGGCCTTGACAAAAACCCACGATTGGTGCTCTAATTAGCGGTCCAGTCCCAGGTATGGTTCACCATGCCATTCAGTCACTGATGGTGGTTGCTATAAGTGGCCTGGTTGCAAAAGCAATGAGTTGCATGAGCTATCCAGTCAATCAGTAGAAACAGTAAGTATCTGATTTTAAATAGAGTTCTCAAGTGATCTTTGCTGAGAGTTTATGTCTCTAAAACATTGGAAACTTCAGCTGAAGTTGTTTCACTCTTATGAGTCTTTTCCCATTTACCTCCTTCATAAATCTTGCTCTTCTTGGGACCATGACTTGCTCTTGGTTGCTCATTCTAGAATTCCAGGTCTTTTTTAATGCTGAGATTAACACTCTGTTGAGTTTGTAACCATTATTATCAGCAACATGATACCTGCTGCTTTTCCTGGTCATGATGATATAGGACAACATCATTATTGTACGGATGAGATAATATTTGGAAAGTATTTCAAGCATGAAGATAGACAAAAGAGTAAGAAATGGATCTTAAAAATTCAAAGAACATGAAATAAATATGCAAACCAGATCGAAGCTATGTTTCAGTGGTAGTGGTACATTTTGTCAGTAAAGCTGTGAAAGTTTGGGGGCAAGAGTGGGCTTCCTAACACAATGTCAGCATATGTTTGCTGTGCAGGTGACTGTGTGTTTTGGGTGTGGATTTTACATTACAATTAAAGTTGAATCTACTGGACATACCCCTCAGAACCTTTTCAGGACCCCCACCCCCACCCCAAAAGTGGTGATTGCAGTATGTTTTAGCCACTAGATGGCAATGCTGTCTACTAAGGTATGTTCATCAGGCTGTAAGCTCTAGGAAATTTATTTTAACCAAAGCTATGTTTTATTTGAAAGGTATACCCATAAAAGATATATATCAAATCATTATTAATGACAAATAACAATATTCCAGTTTTGAGCCTGAATTTGATATGAAAATCCTAGGCAAATGGCTTTGCCCAAGTCAATTCATTATGGTTTTATATCCTTTTATTTTGTTAATCTTTGACTCTTTCCCCCCTTGTTGTTATTATGTGTCATCCAGTCGGACCCAGCTCATAGAGACCCCTCCTTGGGTTTCCAAGGCAGTATCACTACGGAAGTAGATTGCCCAACCTTTCTTCCAAGGAATGGCTGGTGGGTTTGAACTACCAGCCTTCTGGTTAGCAGTCAAGTGCCTTAGGCACTATGCCACCAGAGCTTCTTCTTTTCTCTGGTAGCATAGTGGCTAAAGCACTTGACTGCTAACCAGAAGGCTGGTGGTTCAAACCCACCAGCCACTCCTCGGAAGGAAGGTTGGGCAATCCTACTTCCGTAGTGATACTGCCTCGGAAACCTAAGGAGCCGCTATGAGTTGGGGTCGACTCCACGGCACATAACAACAACAACAACAACAACCCATGAAATATACACACACAAATGAGTATACTGAAAAGACTCCCTGTGATCATGGCCAAAGTTCTCAAGAATTTGGACAGTCATTCAACATGTCCAAACCTGAGTTTTCTTCTCTGTCCTGTTTCAGAGAGTTTTGTGAGATAATAAATGTAAGTACTATCTACTTAGCAAATATTTTCATCTTGTTATTATTATTACTGTTACTGCTATTATTTAACAGATCTGCCAAAGGAACCAAGATTATATTTTGAGGCTCTTTTCCTCTCTTCCTCAGCCATAGATGTTTGACTTTCTAAGGCTTACAAACAGTTAAGCACTCAGCTGATAAGCAACAAGTTTTGTTGTTGTTATTTGCTGTTGAGTCAGATCCGACTCATAGCAACCTCTCCTTGGGTTTCCGAGGCAGTATCACTATGGAAGTAGATTGCCCAACCTTCCTTCCGAGGAGTGGTTGGTGGGTTTGAGCTACCAGCCTTCTGGTTAGCAGTCAGGTGCCTTAGGGTGCTTAGAATCTACCCAGTGGCTCTGTGGGAGAAATGCCTGGCAATCTGCTTCCATAAAAGTTACAACCAAGAACACGCTATGGGACAGTTCTACTCATGGGGTCACTATGAGTCAGAATCAATTCATTGGCACCTAACTTGTTAACAACAACAACAAGGGCTTGGAAGTCACTTTTGATGCTATATACTCATTGACAGATAATGAAGTATTCATGCTCATGAGTGCAGATACTGCTGAGAGAGGTATTTTGTCAGGGTGTTTTGTTTTGTTTTTAAGCTACTTTCCTCTACTAAACCAGTGGAGACTCTGGCTTGCTCCCTTGAAGTTGCCCTAGGTGTTCTTTCCTACTGTCATTCCTCCTGGGCTCTGGGCAGCAAAATAGTTCTCCCAGCAGGCAATCCCCATCCCTAACTGCATGAAAAAGATGATAAAGGAACAGAAACCCGCTCTTGGGTTTATGCCATTTAGCTGCTACAAAGAATACTTTAGAATTTGAAATTTTGGCTGCTAACAGTTTTAGTGTGACTCACACCTGGAGTCCCTATTGACTGACATGTTTGTTTAAGCAGTAAAAGCTTCCTTGTTCTTTCTTACTGCCATCTTCCTGCTTCCTTTTCTCTTTTTGCTTTCAATGAACTTAACGTGCATTTTTAACTTAATGTTTGGGGAGATAGTTTAAACGAACATTTCTTCAAGTGTGTTTCCCAGAACCTTTATTCAATGAAATATTTCCCAGCAGTGCCTAAAAACAATCACTGAGAAATAAGTCAAAACATGAGGAATAAAAGACTATATTGCTCACAATACTGTATTTCTAAAATTCTAAGGAGGTGCCTGTACCATTTAATATTTGTTAAATTGATATGTGTGGGGAAAATCCGTATGTACATTTAATATGCTGTTTATTTTCAAATTTCTAAAATAGTGATATCAAATTTACATTTTAATATTCAGTGGAATCAGAACTGTTAAAAATAGGTAAAAAATACTTTATTTGAACTATTTTATAAAAATGTAAGGCAATATAATTATTTTCTATTGTTGTTGTTTGCCATCGAGTTGGACCCGACTCATAGCGACCCCTCCTTGGGTTTCCGAGGCAGTATCACTATGGAAGTAGATTGATCAAACTTCCTTCCAAGGAGTGGCTGGTGGGTTTGAACCGCCAGCCTTCTGGTTAGCAGTCAAGTGCCTTAGGCACTATGCTACCAGAGCTCCTGATTATTTTCTAGCTGAGGAAAAATTAAATATTTCAAAAAAAGAGGATGCATAGTCATATGAAAGTTGGAAGATAGTATATCTTTTTTGGAGATTTACAATGCACTTCAGTCAGCATTATGACTTCCCTGAAAAATCCCACAATAATGAAATTTGTTTTATTTTGATTAATCTAGCATCTCTCAAATTAAATTTTCACCTCAGAACTTATTTCTTCTCAGAACACTTAATAATTCTCTTTTGGAAAGAATGATAAAAAATATTCTTCCCTAGATAGATCAACCTTAAAGAAAATGTCTGAGTTAATCATGTTAGTCAAAGCTTCAATAGGAATAGTGGGCTGGAATTTCTCCCACCTATTCTTTTATTCTTAAATTCTTTTGTAAGCCACATGAATTCTTTAGAATCAGTAGTTTGGCTATAATTTACCTTTACTTGAAAGCCATCATGCCTAACTTACTTGCTAGTTCAAAGCTATATGGAAACTTAAAATGGAAAGTGACTATAAATAAATATTTATCCACACCTAGGCAATTGACAATAATGGTGTGAACCATCAAGGATTAAAAAGAAAATCTTCAAAGTTCTACAGAGAAATAATAAAAATTTAAATATAAAAATAATTAAAAATTAATAATTAAAAATAACTGCTATGTAGAGATAATAATTATTCTGAAATCATATTTCTCAGCAGCAACAATAGAGGACAGAAGGCAACAAATAATTTTTAAGTGTTGAGAGAAAAATATCTGGCTTAGTAGAGTTCCTTTTCTCCCTCTCTGTCTCCTTCTTCTCTTCTTTCCTTTCTTTCCACTCCTTTCTTTACCTTCCTCATTTTCTTCCTTTTCCTTTCTTTCTCCAAGTTCCTAGCCTTCAGATAGGTGGAAAGAATGAAGACATTTTCAGAAAAGCACTGAGTTTACCACTCATAGATACTCACTGAAAGAACTACTAAAATATGTTGCTTAGCAGGAAGAGAAGTTATCCAAAAAGGAAAAAGTAGATCTAACATAAAAATTAATAGAATGAAAATTGATAAATTCTGTTGGCAAATTTGATTAGCTATTGAATGAGAAAATAATACAAGTACTCCTCAATTCACAATGTGTCTTTTTTTTTTTTCTGTACATCTTATTTTTAGTAATAGGTGCTATATACAATGTTGCAGCATGTAATTTGCTGTCCAAAACACTGTCATATAGCAGGCTATGACAATAGTAATAAAAACTAAGATAATAATAATAAAACTAGGTATTTGACTTATGTCAGAAGTGACTTACAAAGAAGTAGCCAGAATGGAATCCAGTTGTAAGTTGAGGTCTACCTGTATTGTTTTGTGGACTCAAGGAAGAAAGCAAGTTATAACAGATATTGCTAAACATGTTGATGAATTTAATTAACTCTTGGCTGAAAATATTAATGTTTTTAAAATAAGCAGAAACCAAAATTCTAAACAATGATCTAATGGCATTGGTAGTGGGTAAATAAAGGCAACACATCATATTTTGATATGTTTAGGATAACAGTAGAAAGAT